CTCTTCCTCTCCCGCGGCTTCCGGGGGGCGCTGCTCTTCCTCTCCCGCGGCTTCCGGGGGGCGCTGCTCTTCCTCTCCCGCGGCTTCAGGGGGGCGCTGCTCTTCCTCTCTACCCCCTAACCCTGCAAAAGCAAGAGGGGCGCTCCCATTCCTCGCTGCAAGGCTGAGGGGAGAATTAGTCTTCCACCTCTTCCACCTCTTGTCTTGCAGAGCAGATGGAGTGTCTGAGTTCCTGACCGGGCGTACACCTTGGTGGGCCAATTAGGGAACTGATCTTCTATCTCCTGCACAGCAAAAGCAGGTGGTGCCAGGGTAGCATTAGTGGAGTCCAGTAGTGGCCATCTATACCCAGCAACAACAAAGCCTAGCAAGAATATGCAAGGTAAGTCTAGTCACACCCTGCTTCATACCAACACCCCATCAGCAGGACCCAATGGGAAGCTGAGACTTCACCCCTACTTGGTATTAACAAGGAAAAAGGATGTGGTAGGAGATAGGGTCAGTTGGCACCCTATCTCCTACCACATTCACCTACTTAATTCACCCCTCTCCTTCCCTGGTGTCATTAGCGCCCAGAAGAGAACTGAGCTTCCATCCCAAACCGGGTGACAACAAAGTGATGTGGGTCAGCTTTCAACTTCCCCCCTCCTGATGGCAGCTCAGCCCAGTGGGGAGGGCATGATCTCATATTCCCATTTGAAGGCAACTGAGGCCGTGAGATTCAATGCCCTACATCAGCTGAGTAGGTGTTGGCAGGGCCAAAGAGGGGAGCTGAATTTCTACTCCATACCTTTTCAACAACTGTAAGTCAGCTCAACAGGAAGCTGAATATACATGGCCAGTGGACATCTCAATATACCTCAACAAGGGACTCCATGCTAAAAATATTCAATCAATCTTGAGCCACATAATAAAATATCCAAAATGTCTAGGACATGATAAAAAATTGCTCATCATACCAAGGAACCATCAGAACACATACAAAGAATTTACTAAGAACCATCACAGCAACAAGGAACATCACAACATGAATGATAAAGAAATCAACAGATACCAACACCAAGATTAATCAGACATTGGAATTATCTGATGAGGATTTTAAAGCGACTATCATAACCACGCTTCAATAAGCAATTATAATTTCTCTTGAAATAAATGGAACAAAAACAGAAAAAAGAAGCACAAGTTATAGAAAAGAATAAAATGGAAATCATAGAACTGAAAAATATAACCAAAATTTTTTAAATCTCCCTAGATGAACTCAAGAATGCAGTATAGATGACAAAATAGAATCAGTGAACTTGATGACAGATTGCTATGGTCTAAATGTTTGTATGTCCTCAAAAATTTATATGTTGAATCCTAATCATCAAGGTGATTATATTAGAAAGTAGGGGCTCTGGGAGATGATTACGTCATGAGCAGTTCACCCTCATGAGTAAGATTTATGCCCTTACAAAAGAGGTCCCAGAGAGCTGCCTTGCTCCTTCCACTATGTTAGGACATAGCAGGAAGGCACCATCTATGAACCAGAAAGCAAGACCCTCACCAGACACCAAATCTTCTGGCACCTTGATCTTGGACTTCCCAGTCTCCAGAATACGAAAAATAAACTTCTGTTATTTAAAGGCAACCTGATCTAAGATATTTTATTTTGGACTGGAACACAAATCAATAGAATTTATTCAATCTGAACAACAAAGAAAATATAGACTGAAAAATAAGACAAATATTTCTCAGGAACATTTGGGACAATAGCAACAGAGCCAACATGCACATCTTCAGTTTCGAAAAGCAAAAAAAAGACAGAGACTGGACCAAAAAAGTAGTATAAGATATAATAGCTAAAAACTTCCCCTACTTGGTAAAAGACATAATAAACCTACAGGTTCGGTAAGCTGAGCAAATAATTAGCTAAACCCAAAGAAGCCCATGTCAAAAAACATAATAATTAAATTTCTGAAAACTAAGGCCAAGGAAAAAACCTTGAAGGCAGCTAGAGAGAAAACCATTGGAATGATAGCAGATTTCTCATTGGAAACTACAGAGGCCAGAAACAAGTGGCTCAACATTTTTCAAGTACAAAGACAAAATAATTGTCAATGGCAAATCTTATATTCAGTGAAGATATCCTCCAAGAATGAAGAAGAGGAATAATAAACATCTTATCAGACCAAAAAAATGTAAGAGAATGTTTGCTAGCAAGCTGACTTAAACAATGGCTAAAGGTAGTTCTCTAAACAGACAGGAAATGATAGGAGAAGAAGGTTAGAACTTTCAGAAAAGAAATAACTTCAGAATGAGTAAAAATATAGTAGACTAGATTACTTATTACGGGTTTTTAATAGACTTTTTTAGAGCAGTTTTAGGCTCACTGCAAAATTGATTAAAAGGTACAGAGATTTCCCATATAGTTCCTGCCCCCACATGTGCATAGCCTCCCTCACTATCAAAATCCCCCACCAGAGTGGTACATTTGTTATGGGTGATGAACATACATTACCCATCATTATCACCCAAATTCATAGTTTACATTAGGGTTCATTCTTGGAATTGTACATTCTGTGGGTCTGGATAAATTTATAATGACATGTATCTACTATTGTAGTATCATACAGAGTAGCTTCACTGCCCTAAAAATCCTCTGTGCCATGCCTCCCCCAACCCCTGACAGCCACTGATCTTTCTACTGTCTCCATAGTTCTGCCTTTTCCAGGATGTCATACAGTTGAAATAATGCAGTATTTCAACTAGACTTTTGGGTTGTCTTCTTTCACTTAAGTCCTTACCTTTAAGTCTCCATGTTTTTTTCATGGCTTTATACCTCATTTCTTTTTAGCACTAAATAATATTCCATTGCCTGGAGGCACCACTGTTTATTTATCCATTCAACTACTGATGGACATCTTGGATACTTCTAAGTTTTGGAAATTATGACTAGAATTGCTATAAATATTCATGTGCAGGTTTCTGTGTGCACATAAGTTTTCCATTCCTTTGGGTAAACACCAAGGAAAATGATTACCGGACCATATGGTAAGAAATCACCAAACTGTCTTCCAAAGCAGCTATACCATTTTGCATTCTTACCAGCAATGAATAAGACTTCTTGTTGTCAGCATTTAGTGTTGTCAGTGTTCTGGATTATTCCAAAAGACATGTAGTGGTATCTCATTGTTGTTTTAATGTGTGTTGCCCTACTGACATATGATGTTGAGCATTTTTAATATGCTCATTTGCCTGCTATATATATTCTTTGGTAAGGTGTCTGTTAAGGTCTTTGGCCCATTTTTTGATGATGTTGTTTGTTTTCTTATTGTTGAGTTTGAAATGTTCTTTGTATATTTTGAATAACAGTCTTACATTAGACGTGTCTACGTGTGTGTTGCAAATATTTTCTCCCAATCCACAGCTTGTCTTTTCATCC